CCACCCCCTTCCTACCCACACTACCACATTCAGAAAGTGCTGGACGGTTTCCACGGTAAACAGAGATGTGTAAGACGATTCCGCCGCCATCGATTGGGACCCGCCAGAGTAGAATAGAGTGGGAGATAAGACAGTGAAGGCTCCCACCGCAATAGCTTGACCGCCGTGCTTAGATGATGTGTGCAGAGGAAACAGGAAATGGCTCTGGAATAGCCACGTCGCTAGTTGGCGGGGTGGGAGGATAAACACGCAGAGCGAGGACCACATCTTGGCCATCTTCTCCCAAACTCATTTGAACCCTTCCTTCCTTCTTCCCGTCAGGTGTGGAGCCGCCCAAAGATCAGACATTTGTGCATTCGCAGCGACGGCACATCAACGTTCCGCTTTACAGCATCCTGTCCACCATCACCATCCTGGGCATGCTCATGGCCGGAGCTTTCCTCTTTTTCAACATCAAGAATAGAAACCACAGGTGAGCACAGAGAGGGAATAACACAAAGCAAGGGTGTCCCGCCAATGCCGAAAACTCTCGATCCCGGATGCATTGTCGCCCCGCATATCTAAGCCATTCACATCGTTGGCAAAATATCACATTGTAATGTGGTCCTGAAAAACACAAGTTCATGTACCAATAAACCTCTAGTATCGTTTCAACGTACAATTATCAATTGTCATCATTACGGCAGTCCAATGTCCACTTTAACTGATGAAATGATTTGGTGTCGCGAGTTTCTCTGTGCTGGCTCGTCGTGTCATGTTGAAAGTGACGCTTGTCGTACAGATTGATCAAGATGTCCAGTCCCTACATGAACAACCTGATCATCTTGGGCGGCATGCTTTCCTACGCCTCCATCTTCCTCTTCGGACTGGACGGCGGCTTTGTGTCCGACAAGGAGTTTCAGACACTCTGCACGGTCAGTTGCTCCTCCACAAACATGATTATCATCACCGAAGAAATGAGAAATATCCCCGCAGACTATTCACTGTCACTTCTTGGGTACTGTTTGTTTTATCAGACTTACAGTCTCCGTGGAAAATTCTCCTTCTGCTTTGAATGGATGACATCATTTAATACGCTACTTGCTTCCATTGAACTGTCTTTAAATTGCTCGTTACTCAGGAACAGACTTACTGCTGCTGGGTCAGTTTGACCCAGGGCAGGTTGGATTCTCCGAAAGTGTCAGGAACTGAACAAAACATCCAAATAAAGATTGAAAATCTCATTAATAACCTCTGTTCAGAGTGAGATTGACCTACTGATTTAAAATCCAGAGGATGTACATTGAAGTGTTTAAAAAAAAAAAAAAACTGAAGTTAACTATTAATGTAGGCATAAGAGGTTTCATCAGTATGAATTTTTTTTTCATTTTCTCAGGATAAAAGGGATTATAAAATGTTTCTCTGGATTATTGCATTGTCTTTTATCTCTGGAATGCAATCTAAAGCAGAGGCCTAAGTAGTCTAAAATACATACGTTACATCCCTCCCCCTTCAAAAAAAAATTAAGCCGGTAAGGAATTAAAACCAGCCGCAAAATTGTAGGTGTTAATGGCGTTAGATTTAGATACGATAAACAGCTGAAATGTGATGAATGGTAACAGACCGGCTGTGCCCGCTGGGGGGGATCTTTTGCCAGCATATTAGGCCTCCGCGCTCGGGTAATATGACAGTGTCGCGATTAGGGCGATAAAGTAGTGTTTTGCGACACCAGTAAAAAATTATGCCGGCCGGACTTTGTTCTCAAAATGCTGTGTGGGGTGGTGAAAGTGTAAATAAGTATGTAGATGTGTGTGGTCTGCATGCTGTGACTATAGCAGGCTTTGTCAGGTGATTTTCAAACTCAGCGTTTTTAAAACGCACATCAGCGGCATCCTCTGGTGCCAAATCAGAGCCAAAGGTCTACGTTTTGTTTCTTCTTATTAGGACGAATTACTCTCAAGAGTGTGACAGCCTCCGTGCTTACCAGATAAGACAAGAAAGCAACCTGACAGCTTTTTTTTTTTTTTTGGGTGGTTCATTTTTAGAGCGCTATTTTGGCATCTTCAAAGGAAACATTCATAGCAGTCAGAGACATCAACGGGGCCCGAGCACCAGGCGGCACCGAGGAAAAGTCACTAAATATTATACCCCGATGCCAGTTTTTGGGTGTTTGTCATAATCGGACGTAGGCAGAAAATAAAACTGGAGACTTGAAGTAGTCTTGTCTCCTCAAGAACAAGAGAGAAAGGTGGAGTTGTTTCGCCGACTGTTTGCATTGTTTCCTTCCTTCCTTTGACCATCTGACTATCTGTAGTAGAGTATGCGTATTAATCGGCACATTAGCATGTGAGAGGATATCAAAATCCAGTTTTTCTTTAACGTGCCTCTCTTGTCGCCCGTTAGGTTCGAACGTGGATCCTCATCGTCGGCTACACGACGGCGTTTGGCGCCATGTTTGCCAAGACGTGGAGGGTGCATGCAATCTTCAAGAATGTGAAGATGAAGAAGAAGGTATGGGAGAGTGTTTTGGGTTTCTGCGTGTGGAAATGCACATATACCATGTGGGCAGAAATATTGGGCACACACACAATAACATTCCTGTCGCACAAGTAGCTGAAACATAGAGGCTCAGGGAATACTTCTCCCGGCATCTGTTTTCTACGTGGCAAAGGATTACAGTTTGACAGTCACGCCCCATCAACTACCTTCGAAAACAACGGTAGTCACTACACAAGCTGCGTGCCAGGATCTCTCTGGCAGATGGTTTGTCTGATCTCGTCATCCTCTGAGAAATGATGCCTCTTGACCCCAATCGCATGCGACAGTTTATTTGGGACACTTGTGAACGCTATCATTGTGATACGGGAGACTTGAAGCGATCTCGGACTCCACAGAAATTAATCAGTGATCAAATACATCGGGAAGACGCCACATTTAAAAGGGATTTTTAAGAGTCGAGGCCAACATCTGATGGATTCAGGTCCGTCCAAATACTTTTGTGCGTAGGGTGCATGAGTTTATACCCATCGAGTGCTTTATAATCTTGAAATAACTTCAATGAAACACGTTTTAAGCTTTTGAGCTGTCAGATTCAATCACGTCGATTGGCCGAGTTATATAAAAGAGATGGAGACTGTAGTAGCCATTCTTGGCTTTTTTTTAAAATGTATTTTTTTGGTTGAGGGTATTTATAGAGCCACCCTCTCCCGCCACCCCTTCCTCTTGCCCTGTCTCTCTCTCCCACTCGCCGGCTTTCTGGAGCAAGTGTGGGTGGCCTGCAAGGATGAGAGGGATGGATCAAAGAGTTGGAAGGATTTGGGGTGAAGTGTCAGAAGGAGGAAGAAGGCCAAGAAGCAAGATGGAGAAAAACAAAAACAAACGCAAGATAAAGTGGCACATATGGAAAAGAAAGTAGACTTGGTCCTCAGAGGAGCGCGGGAATGCCGAAAAACAAGATTGCCAGAGTGGCTTCCGGCACGAGAAACAGTAACTGAGATCTTCTTGGATTCTTGGGATTAGATGGAGACAAAATCAAAGATGATTTGTCAGCCTTTGCATATTTTTTAATTCAGCCTGGACAAGAGTGAAAGTACTTGCTATGTTCTGGCATATTTCCCAGTCCGGTGGTACCTCTACTTACGAACGTCTCTTCATATGAAATTTTCAAGTTACGAAACGCCTCAACAGGAAAATATTACCTCTTGTTACGAAAGAAATTTCAAGATACGAAAGGTAAAACTATAGTATGGGCTGCTACTCGCAACTCTGAGTTTCCTGAACGCAACATACTGATAGCTGCTCTGCCATTGGCTATTACCGAGCATCATCCTGGCATCCCATCGGCTAAGAGGGACTTCTACCGTACGTGTCTATCTGTGTAGATAGATAAATAGATAGATCTGTGTCTATGCGGCATCCTCGTCATTCGCCCCTCGGGCAATAAGGTGAATCACCCAGAAAAAGTGTTCACCAGTCGGGCGATCGCTCACGATGCTAATGTTTGGCTTGGACATTCTCGAAGGATTGTTAAAAGCCGACAAAAGCAAACGTCCTTGGATCAGTTCTTTACAAAACGGCAGGAAAAAAAACACTGCTGAGAGAGAACATGAACTAAAGAGGGCAAAAATCGATGAGGACGCAGCTGAAAGTTAAATGACCAGAATTTTTATTCTTTTTACTTTGTTTTTTACATTATGCTCAACTCTCATTTATTGTGCAACAATCTAATTGTAACATCGGTCTTATCCATGTTGAACAGCAAGTATTTTATGGATAAACATGGACCAATGAATTTTTTTGTGCCAATATAGAGAGACTTGACTGATTGACCACTATGGTGGGTGTCAAAGGGTCAAAGTGGATTTTCATCTTTATGTGACGTCGGGAAGTCATCGAAACATGCTAACTCGTGGAAATGGTGCAGGCAAAGAGCACTTACTAACCGTTCCCTGCAAGACCTGGTTGACCACCACCCAGATCAGGATTTCCCTTTTAACTTTAACTGTACTGCCTTAAACCGGACAGGACCGATCGGTGGGACGTCTGAGACATTTTCCACCCACATTTACCTGGTATGGGGGGGGGGGGGGGCACTGGGAGTCCACTAGTCAACCTTCTAGATTGAGTTATTACCACAACGGGCTGCCTGACCTTTCCTTTGAATGACGCTTCCATACCGTCAAACGGCGTTCTAAATAAAGATCACAAACAGGCCGCGGCTTTCATCCCGGCAAAAGTTCACGCTATAAAAGAGAAGAGCGTTGTGATCTGACGTTCGTTGCTTCACATCTCAGGGGAGATGTATTGGCGGGTCGCCATTAGCGTTTCCCGCTGCATGGAGCGATCGAGACATCCTCGCCGGTGGTTAATTGCAGCTAATCAGCAGCTGATGAGAGGGTTGTGAGAACCAGCGGGTCTGCGGTTGGGCAATAATCGTGATTGTTGAGTGCAGCGCTCATAAAACTGTTGTCCCCCCCCCCTCCCCCCCCAACCATGCAGATCATAAAGGACCAGAAACTATTGATCATCGTTGGCGGTATGCTGCTGATCGACTTGTGCATCCTGATTTGCTGGCAGATTGTGGACCCGCTGAAGCGGACCGTGGAAGAATACAGCCTGGAGGTCGGTGCACATTTCAATGTTGTTTCTCTCCATTTTGGCAAAACAAAATTCTAGCCTCAGGCTACGGTACCATCTGCCTTTTTTTTGTGTGAGTTGATTATTTTTGGTTTGGGATGTGAGCCGCCACAACTTCCCACGTTGATCCCCGCCGCCCGACATTTGCCAGCTTAGATGTGAGACGTTGGCAAGGCCTGCTGGCACCGGTGCGCTTGGCCTTGTTTCTCGAGCTGGAAAAGTGCAGAATAAAAATGAACTCGTGACTTGATCGTGTTTCCCGCTCGACTGCCCAATGGCGAAAATGCTAACGCAGCTTTGCAATCTCAGGTTGGCCAGTGATCAGTCAGCACTGCTATCAGATTTTAGCAAGAAATGTTTCAGTCATAGCAGGCTGTTTTTACTCATATTTCCGAATAAATTATCTTCAGTCAGCTGTATTTTGGGGTGAAAATGTAGTCAGAAACTGTTCGTATCAGTAAAAAAAAGATTTTTAGGAAGAAATGCTGCAATGATCGCAGGAATATATCGTAAACTGCCCGCTTTTTATCATTCACTGAACTCCAACGCGTGTCAGGCCTTTTTGTGTAAATTCCAACTAAATTGGAGAAATCACCTCCATTAATTGGTTTGCTTACTTGTTTCTTGAACAATTTTTGGGCTGCCGTCATGACTCGGGTGCTCGGTTGGAATGCGGGTTTTCCCTGATCCCCTCATTTTTTTCCTGATATTTTGCCACATATCTCAACCGGAGAGGTTTGTGTTTACTTGGAGCATGAACATCGAAGAGGTTGGAGCCTTGAGATGATGAGCAATCGTAGGAGGGTTATTGCAACCCTCTACACAAAAAACTTCATTTCTGCATTTCCTGAGCAAATTCTTTTCATCTTATTTCCTGTTTGTTGATTGTTGCCAACGCCCTGCGGCGGGATGGAGGGACTCTTATCTGGCAGTTTGTTTGGACTAGTCCGCCTTCAGTTGAAGGAGGAATCTTGTGAAGTGATAAATAAAGTCCACTAGGAGGTTTATTTTCGTCCTTCCAGTGAGATTCGGCCCAAAGGGGGGAGGGGTGGGAATAACGGGGGCGTTGTTGCGCGCCATATCCAATTTACATTCTCCGTTACCATCCTCTTGAGCTCCACTTGAATCATTTGGGCGACTCCAGATGTATTTCCCTTTGTGACGCTGCTCACTAATGTCTTTAAGCCGGCGAGGTCAAGCACGGCGTTGTTGAACATATTTATTCGCCAATGTGCACGGTTGCGTCCTCACCGAGCATTCTCGGACTCTGAGCCGAAGTGAACATATTAGCTCGAGAAATAACTCCCAACTAAACGTGAAATGATTTTCGTGAATGAAATACAATAAAAATGCTTTGTAAAATAACAAAAAATTAACTGAAACAACATCTTCATAATATTAATTATAATGTAAATGTCCTTTGTTTTCATTTCTGTCGAATAATATACTGTACATGAGCTTTCGGGGTTCATTTTACGTAGACCATGATACTTTGCGCCGCTGAGCACTTGACAATAAAATGACTGGCCAGTCCTATTTCTTTTGTCACAGCTTTTATGTACAAAAACAGAATATTGTGCTATCTTTTTATTTTCTTTTAAATACAGTATCATGAGCTTTTTATATGTCACCAACTTCCCCATAATATGATAATATTGTATTGTAGTGTTTGGCTGTCGTTACATCCCTGATAGAAAATGTATGAATGTGGACCATGATATCCTGCAACCTTGACACTGTACCACACAACCCGTTTAACAATAACAAGCTGCTGAAAAAAAGGATTCCTGCTTTTTTTTTTTTTTTCTCTCTGAGACTTACCAGAACATCCTGGGAATGCCGAATGGGACGCACGTGTGCCAAAGTAGACAAACGTGACCTTGTGTGTGCGTGTGTGTGTGTGTGTGTGTGTGTGTGTCTGTGTGTCTTTTGCATGTACGTGGATTTATTTATTTATTTTTGCGCCCACCAATGCGTCGCCGCCCCCTCCCGTGGGCTCTCTTACATAATGAAGGACGAACTGTCAGGAAGAAAATGATTAGCATTCCGTCGGATCCCGCAGTCAAGCATCTCCACCCTTCCTTTTGTTGCCCCCTCCCCAATCCTCGTGTCGCCATGGCAACGGCCACGGTTTCTGACACCCGTAACACCGTTGATCCTGCAAGACGAAAATAGCAGGTTTAAGGCTCCCCCCCCCCCCCCGGTGGGCTTTGCATGGCAACACACATGCAGTCAGGATGATGACGATGGTGATGGTGATGATGGCGGCGGCGATGATGAGGCGCTCAATGACGCGCGCCGCCGGTTTGAAGGTGAACCCGAGCATATTATCGGCAGTGCAGACGCTGACATCATCGCCGCGCAGGTACACCGAGGGCGAGCTCGCACCGCATGCTCCAACCCGACGTGCCCTCCCTCTTCTGTGCATTTCCATTGTGCAAAGGCGACGGTGAGTGTTGCTAACCGGCGAGAGGCGCCGTCGCGTTAATGAGAGTACACGTGCGTCGTGCGTGACAGCATGCTGTTGTCTTTTTCTTTTTTGGACTGTGGATTATGTCTCGGAAGTTTTACTGTTGATTTCGATTGATCAGTGTGGTGGTATGAATAACTGCCGAGAGGAGCCGTTGGCGACAGTGGCGGCGAATTAGATTCTAATTACACATGGACTTTTTTTGACAACTTTTTTTCCAAGTCATCCTGTTGATTTCTATTTTGCAAAATGATCATTAAGTGGCAAGAGGAACTGTTGCAATAATTGCATGACACATACATTGCACATGTGACACAGTATTAGTCTCTGACAGGGGTGTTATACTTCACAGAGGTCGAGGAGCTTTTGGAGCAGGGTTCTGATAGGGACCTCTAATTCCAGGAATGTACCAAGAACTTATGAGTTACTGGTTCTTGAGGTGAATGCAGTTAGGGCAGGGGTGTCCAAAGTCGGTCCTCAGGGGCCGCTGTCCTGCCTGTTTTCCAGCTCTCTCGGGAGCAACATACTTGATTCAAATAATCAGGGTCGTTCTAATGCTGCTTCAGAGCTGGTTGATGAGCCATCATCTGAATCAGGTGTCTTGCAGCCGGGAGAGCTGGAAAACAGGCAGGACGGCGACCCCTGAGGACCGACTTTGGACACCTCTGCTTTAGGGGAATTGTCCAGTTCATGCCGCCTCAAAGCCAGTTGGCTTTTCCTTTCCAAAAAATCTCATTATGATTACTTGGTGTTGAAAAATACTTCAGAGTCCCGCTGACTTACAGGACTTCCTCTTTGGCTCGCCTTCAGGTTGGGTGAACAAGTTGAATTGCGCTCGGAGGCTGCGACTCCAAAGACATTTCGTCAGAAGTGGCGAGCAAGTTTCGTTCGTCTCGTGCGGCATGAAGCGTTTGCGCGACCTCGGCTGCGGCGCAGAGCGTAGGCTCGCTTTGTTAGCCTGGACACAAAGCAGCCGCTCCGATCAATGCCTTTTCAAAGCTAACTGGGTCATTAAGGGATAACCGCCACCCACCTAGGCCTTTTCTCATCGACCACCTCCGGGGGAGGCAGGAAGCCACGCGGCGTGCTGAGACCTCACAGCATTTTTCCTTCCACTCAATCCGAGTCTTGACAGCCAGGAAGAATGGCGAAAGTGCTCACCGGCGGCTCAGTGCGGAAGGGGAGAAGGCTCGGGAATGTTCCTTGGATACTGGAAATGCCACAAAAGCTCTTTCATTATTCAACATTTTTCCTGGCTCAAATTGAGGCTTAGGTGGTACCATCCTGACCGCGCGCCATGACGTGCATGTATTCTTCAAATTCAATGGAAACACTTGGTTTTACAGGAAACACACTTTCAGTTGAGAGTTCCAATAAGAATATGACTAATATCATATTAAAGCATCCGTTCATTAACCCTTTCGTGCACCCTGTAACCCGATAACGTGATGAACTGTCCGCTGTCGTAACCGCTGTCCCTGAAAGGGTTCAAACTTGCATCGGAGAATGACTGACACACAGCTTGTGTGGTGGGGTCACTTTTGTTTGAGACACTCCTAGATTATTTTGAAGCAGCCTTCAAGCGCTCTGTGGTCCATGCCCACCTGTGGTGCCATCGCACGCTGCAGTTTCCGCCGCTTAAAAAAAAAAAAAAAAAAAAAAAAACACCAAACATTTATTTACCGATTGATCTCAACTATATTATTGCAGTTTTTGTAACTTGATCAGTTGAGTGTTTTAGGTACTTCTCCTCTTCTGCTGTTTTGTGAATGGCCGTCACCTCGTGTCTTTTGAATGTGCCTGAGCTGTATGTTGGTTGATGGCTGCGATTGCCTGCTGTGTTGGGGGGCGGTGCCGAAATAACAGTGCATGCCTTCCTCAGTATGCCTGAGCCATTACAATTGATTTCGCCACTGCTTGTCATAGCCACTGGCTCCTGCGGTTTGAAGACTTTACGGAAAGAGGAATAAAAGATAACGTTTCAATCACGTACGCATTGACTTTATTATGCTCCTAATTGGAAACGGATTTGTCTGTTTCTCATTGCACAAGGGACAATTCTGTTCTGTTCAAACGTGAACCTAACGTTGACCATAACACCGAGGTACAAGAAGTACCGCTGCGCCAATTTTTTGAGGCCAAACCACAACCCTTGAGGATTGTTCCCGCAGCCTTCAACTTGTGTAAACTGATGAGTCGTACATTCCTTAACCTGGGAAAAAAAAAAGTGTAATTAAGATGGTGGGTTAAAGTGTCCTCACTTCAACTTGCAAGCTGCTGGGTGAAAGCCGCCACTTTTCTTTGCTCGCGTAGACTCTTAAGTAGATTACGCCAAAAGCAGGTTTTGTGGAGCCAGATATTCTTCTGAGCGCACGCGAACCAGCGGCGTGTCAAGCAAGGCCAGCTCCTGTAGCGGATTTTTATCAGCGACAGAGGAGAGAAACACACACACACACACACACAGATACAAACAGAGCCTTCTTTTTGCGCTTCTTTTCAGGAATCCTGCAGGCAC